TTAACTTCTTCCTTTCCTATCTTTATTCCTTTTATTTCTTTCTCTTGTCTAACTGCTGTGGCTAATGTTTCCAGAACTATATTGAACAGAAGTGATGATAGTGGACATCCTTATCTTGTTCTTGATTTTACCATGAAAGCTTTCAGTTTTTCACCATTTAGTATGATGTTGGCTGTTGGTTTTTCATAGATAGCCTTTATCAGGTTGAGATAAAAACCACCTATTCCAATTTTCTGCAGGGTTTTTATCATGAATGAGTGTTGGATTTTGTCCAATGTTCAATAAATTCTTGTGCCTAAACCGGTATGGGGGCACACATCTGTAGCCCTGTAATCCCAGCTGCTTGGGAGCTAAGGTAGAATTGCAAGTTTGAGGCCAGCCTGGGAAATTTAGAGATAATATCTCAAAAAAAAAGAAAGTACCCTTGCATCTGTTTTCCTACACATGACTCACATTTATCCTTCTGTATAGCAGAGTAGTACTCCATTGTGTATGTATATGGCCTTGAGACCATAATGTTAAGTAAAATAAATCAGACACACAAGCTTAAATATTGCATAGTTTCTCTTATATGAGAAACCTAAAGTAGAAACGAAAAGCAAAATAAAAGATAGATAATAGGAAGTAGGGAATAGGTCTTTTACAAGTGGAAAGGGGATCAAGAGATGGAGGGAGGGAAATGGGATGTGAAAAAGAACGAAGATGTGTTAAGTACATGTACCAACTCCCCACGAGGAATCTAATCATTATGTACTGCAAACATGTACCAATAAAAATAAAAATTTAAAAAGTAAAGACCGGTCTCTGGGTTCAAACTCCAGTAACCCACAAAGCGAAAATGAAACACTGGTGCCCACAGGTAAAGGGCAGGAGGTAAACCTTGGGCAGAGCCTGGCTCATCTACACTCTTAGATTGCCAGATCTGCCTTCGACCCCAGGCAGCCCCTAGCGGATGGGAGCTTCGAGCAAGGGCTGGAGGTGGGGGCCAAATTCTGGCTGGTGAGAAGGTCAGCAAAATCCACAGAGCTTCAGTGCCAGCCTAAGCCCTCAGGTTCCCTTTTTCTAAATCAGGAAATGATTTTTCTTGCCCTAGCGCAGCGGCAGAGAGCTGGGGACGAAGTGGAAGCAGTCCAGCGGGCACGCAAAGCCAGGGAGCCAGGAGACTGGGCAAAGGCAATGTCTGCAGCAATGACAGGCGAGGATCCGAGAGGGACATTGGAGTAGGCGGAGGGTACAGCTCACTCAGCACTCACGCCCATCCGCGGCTCCAGCATAGTTCCACCTTAAGTGCCTAGACCCCTTTAAGGGGCGCCCGAGCCCCGAGCTAGGGCGGGGCATCCCATGCAAATGAGGGCGTGGGCCGGCGGGTGGGGCGGGCGGGGCGCTGACTTGACGTCAGGGCAGCGGCCCGGGCAGTTGGCGCGGCGGCGGCGGAGAGGCAGGAGTGGTATCGCGCAGCCCGGCTACGCGGCGGCGGCGGAGCCGAGCAATATGGCGCCGGCCGGCGGGGGCGGTGGGCCGACCCAAGGGCGCCTCCTCCTGGCTGCGCTGGTGCTCCTGTGGGCGCGGGGGGCCTGGAGCCAGGGCAGCCCCCAGCGGGGCGCGATCCTGGGCATGAGGCTGGCGAGCTGCAACAAGTCGTGTGGGATGAACCCGGATGGCATCATCTTCGTGTCTGAGGGCAGCACGGTGAACCTGAGACTGTATGGCCAGAGCTTGGGCGACATCTCCAGCAACCTGATCTCCTTCACCGAGGTGGACGGCGAGACCTCTCACAACTCCACCGCCTGCCCAGAGCTCACCAAGGACCTAGTTGTCCAGAAACTGGTCAATGTGAGCCGCGGGAACACGTCCGGGATGCTCGTGGTGCTCACCAAGTTCCTTCGGAGGAGCGAGAACATGAAGCTGTACGCGCTGTGCACCCGGGCACAGGCTGATGGCCCCTGGGTCAGGTGGACCGACAAGGACTCGCTGCTGGTCATGATGGAGGAGCACGGGAGGATCCTGCCCCTCTGGCTGCACATCCTCCTGGTCCTGGTGCTGCTGGTGTTCTCGGGCATATTTTCTGGCCTCAACCTGGGTCTCATGGCCCTGGACCCCATGGAGCTGCGCATCGTGCAGAACTGTGGCACTGAGAAAGAAAAGAAGTATGCCAGAAAGATTGAGCCCATCCGGCGGAAGGGCAATTACCTGCTCTGCTCGCTGCTGCTGGGGAATGTGCTGGTCAACACCTCCCTCACCATCCTCCTAGACAACCTCATTGGGTCCGGCCTCATGGCAGTGGCCTCCTCCACCATCGGCATTGTCATTTTTGGGGAGATCTTACCTCAGGCGCTGTGCTCCCGACACGGGCTGGCTGTGGGTGCCAACACCATTGTCCTCACCAAATTCTTCATGCTGCTCACTTTCCCCCTCAGTTTCCCCATTAGCAAGCTCCTGGATTTTGTCCTGGGTCAGGAGATCCGCACTGTTTACAATCGGGAGAAGCTGATGGAGATGTTGAAGGTGACGGAGCCCTATAATGACCTTGTGAAAGAGGAGCTGAATATGATCCAGGGGGCCCTGGAACTAAGGACCAAAACGGTGGAGGATATCATGACCCAGCTTCATGACTGCTTCATGATCCGCAATGATGCCATCCTGGACTTCAGCACCATGTCAGAGATCATGGAAAGCGGCTACACTCGCATTCCCGTGTTTGAAGGTGAGCGCTCCAACATTGTGGATATTCTATATGTCAAGGACTTGGCCTTCGTGGACCCCGATGACTGCACCCCCCTCAAGACCATCACCCGCTTCTACAACCACCCGGTGCACTTCGTCTTCCATGACACCAAGCTGGACGCCATGCTGGAGGAGTTCAAGAAGGGTAAGGGCTGTGCCACTCGCCGATTACATGTCCCTGGTGCCTCTCGTCCTCCTGTGTGTTCTGTGTCTGCAGATTTTAGTGTTTTTGTTGGGCTGACCCTTTGCCCATCACTTCCTTCACCTCTGAGGTGAACAGTACTAGGCACAGTTCCTAAGTGTTTGCCGGCTTTGAGCTCCTGTGCTTTGTGCTCCAGATGAATCAAAGTGGGAAAAGACTTGCTCACTTGCCGGGACAGGGCAAGACCTTAGGGAGCAGGACAGAGCAAGGCCAACGCCCAAAAAGAGGCCAACGCCAGATGGAGAGGTGGGATAGCCTGGGGAAGGGGCTGGGCTGGAAACCTTCTTTGGGAGGGGACATTGAAGGGAGCTCCAAAAGATGGAGTGGTTTGGCACTCAAGGCAGAAGGAACCAACAGACAACCTGAGTGGGGGGAAGCCACAGATGTTCTCGTGGGTTGACAGGTGGTGTAGCTGGCACATTGGCCCCACTGATCAGCAGTTGGTGGATGAGAGGCTGGAGTGTCCAGGCCCTGGGTGGACAGTAAGTTTATGAGGCTGGAGTGTCTGGGCCCTGGGTGGACAGTAAGTTTATTCTAGCCTTGGAGCCCTGGAAAGTTTTCGAGCCAGGGAGTGACATTACTGGAGTGCTGAGCCCAAAGAAGCAAAATGGGGAGGTCTCATCTGCCCTCTTCCCCGAACAGTGCCAAGTAATGCATTCTGCTATTCGGCAGAGGAAAGCAGATTTAAGTTCAGTGATTGTGCTGTCTTTCCCAGGCACCAGACTTAAGCTTGCTCCTGTGGTCTGCGGGAGCTGTGCTGGCCTCGTGCCGCCTTGTGCTCGCTTCTCACGTGTGTTCTTGGCTGCTTCTCAGGTGGTTAGAGGTGCTGGGAGGGTTCACTACATCTGCAGCCTCATAGCTCCGCACACACCCTTCCCTTCCTTCCATCCAAACTTTCCTCCCACCTCTGCCACCCAGAAGTCCTGAGTGCAGTAAACAAGCCAATTATGGAGGAAAAGCCTCCTGGGCTGCAGGAGGTGAGGAGGCAGACGGGGCCCTCATTAGAAAGGGGCCCTCATTAGAAAGGAACGGGGAGGGGGTTCTTCAACTCAGTCTCAGCCTTCTTTCCATAGAAGAGCTGCTGAGGTTGAGGCTCAGGCAGAAGCCATTTTTCTTTATTTTGGTGGGGGGGGGGGCACGTACTGGGGATTAAAACCAGGGCCTTCACATTGAGCTGTATCCCCAGACCTTTTTAATTTTTTATTTTGAGAGAGAGTCTAAGTCAATAAGTTGCCCAGGCTGGACTCAAACTGATTTTCCTGCCTCAACCTCCCAGAGTGCTGGGATTGCAGGTGTGCACCACCACCACACTTCTGAACTCTAGCTTAGACCAAGCCCAGGGTCATTTCTGAACCAGATAATGAAGGACAGTCTTGGAGTGGGCTAGGGAGGGAGGAGTTGGTTTGGCCAGGTTTGGTCTGAAAAGATGCTAAGGTCCTGATCAGTGCAAGAGTGGTGGGTTATACCCTACCTTGATAAGTTTGCCAGACTGGATCTAAGCACTAGAGCTGAGAGTGACCCAAGGACTGTAAGCCAGAATAGGAGACAGCCAGGTGAAGGCCTCGCTGCAGAGACTGGTGGGACATGCCTGGGGGTGCTCCCAGAGGACCCAGGAACTCGGTCCTCCTCAGGCACAGCTGGGGTGGAGGAGCAGTGAGGAGCATGCCCACCTCACCCTCAAACCAGGGCCTTGGACTCTTCTCCAAGTTGCCTACTGGGGAACCTGGGGAAGACTCCCAGGGCAGCTTCCTCCTTGGCCACTTCTGTGGTCTCAGGGACTGTCTTGGGTGTCACACCCATCAGCCCAGAGGGATCCGGATCCACCCAGTGTGGACTGGCCTTGCCCAGCATGGCTGGGAGCTTCTGGGGCTTAGCGGCCATCCCTGGACTCATCTGGTAAAGAAGCGCCTTTTTGTTGTGCTGAGAGAATAGCTCGAATTGCTTAGGCAAGAGCTCTGCTGAGCCTAATTCTCCACACTCACCTCGGAATGTGGGGATGCTTGTGGGCTGAGCTGAGCCCTGCAGGGGTGCCAGCAATCCTGGGAAAAGCAGGGATGGTCGGCCCTGGCCGGCCATCCTTCCCTGCTTCCCAGAGGTTTTGGAAGTTATAAATTGCCACACCAGGTTCCTCCAAGGGTGTCCTTTCCCAGGTCTTTCTGCCTGACATCTTCCTCTATTCTGGCCAGGTTGAGGCAAGCACCTTGGATACATCTGCAACTTAAAAGATTTTCTTTACAAATTTTGTTGTTGTTGCTGTTGTTTTGAGTCAGGGTCTCGATCTGTAGTTCAGGCTAGCCTTGAACTTGCATCGATCCTCTTGGCTCAGCCTCTTGATCTTAACAAGTTTAATGTTTGGAAGGCTTCCCTTTTGGTTAAGAAAAAACAATTGAGCAAGGTCAGTACGGCCAGTGTGGTCAGCAGCAAGCACCAAAATTAGAGCTGGGGTGACTCCGAAGGTCCTCTCTAGAACACCCCCCCACACACACTTCCAGATTGGCTAAAGTTTCTGAGCCTGGCTCTGCCAGGCTGCAATTCTCTTTTCGGGTCCTTTTATCCTCCTTCCCCAGCCAGCATGACGAGCTCCTGAGGGTGGGAGTGCTGCCTGTGTTCCCCGGACTCAATGCCTGGCAGAAATGGGTCTTCTGGAAATGTTTGCTGAACAGGTGAATGAACCAGCGGGTGAGTCGGTGACTATCCGGCAAACCCCCCTGAAGTTGCCTTCTTCCTTGAACACACCAGGACACGCCCACCTGTGGGCTCTAGCTGTTCTCTGCCCCAGAAGTCAGTGGACTCACCCTTTCCCTTCATACTTGCTTCAGCATCACCTCGGTGGGGCCTTCCTGTCACTCTGTTTAAAACTGCAACTCCTAGCCAAGTATGGTGGCACAGACCTGTAATCCCAGCAGTCTGGGAGGCTGAGGCAGGAAAATGGAAAGTTCAAACCCAGCCTGAGCAATTTAGCAACATGGTGAGACCCTGTTTTAAAACAAAAAATAAATAGGGTTGGGAATGTAGGTCAATGTGAAAGCCCTGGGTACCTTAGTACCACCAAAAAAGAAAAAAAGGAAGAGAAATGTGACTTTCAAAAACAACCCTCCAACCTCCATTCCACTTGATTGTCCGCATCTCCCCTACCCCATGCTCATTTCTCTTTAGCATCTGTAGGGTTGCTGATTGGCTGTGTTGCCATCTCCTCCCACCAGGAGGAGCTCAGGACGTCTCTGTAGCCCCTGATCTGCTTTCGGCACATAGTGAGGCCTCAGTAAAACATCACTGGTGAATTAATGAGTGACCTTTCAGCTAGGGAGCTGGAGTGACTGCACCTTGAGGAGCTGCTGAGGGATAAAGAGACGATGCTGTCGTTATTGGGAGCCATGCATATGTGTTCAGGATCCAGGTTGCCCTGCTCGGGTCCCTTTCACCATGCCTCAGTTTCCCTGCCAGTATGCAGTCTGTGGCATTCCTCACTAAGGGGTGAGCTTCCCACAGAGCAAGACAGGAGCCAAGGCCCCAGTTGCAGTTGCCAGTTGACTCCACGCATGAGCCTCATAAGACTCCCATGCCACACGTGGGAGGACACCATGCCTGGTGCCCCCAGCCTCATGGGGATGTGCCAGCTTAGCAGGCCACTGAAGCTCCTGTGGTCTGAACCTTGCCCTTCCTCAGAGGCTGCTCCTGGGACTGTTTCCACGTGGTTGTGGGGGTGTGGGCTAGCCCACAGCTGGGTCCGGAGCGAGTGTGCCCTGCTCTCCCAGAGGCCCAGTTCTCATTTGCCTCTACTCCTGATGCCTTTGCGGACCCTGGAGCAGGGTCACAGAGAGCTCCCCCTGGATGCTGTGCTCCCAGAGGTTGGGGCTCAAACCTTGCACGGAACCCACTGTCCAGCTTCCTGCCCCTCCCGAGCACTCAGCTCCTCTCCAGCCAGTTTAGCTTTCTCCACCCACCTCATAGGAGTCTACACTGCCTCGTGGAGCTCTGTGGACACCCCACCCAGCCAGAGCTGGGTTTAAATTCCACCCAGCTTGGTCATTGACCTAGGAGGTGACCTTTGCCCTGTTACTGGTCTTCTCAGCAAGCCTGTGGGATGTCATTTGGAGGGGACAGAAGGCCAGAAATATTTTTATTAAAAACCTCTCCCAGTCGGGTGTGGTGGTGCATGCCTATAATCCCAGCCCTCTAGGAAGCAGAGGCAAGAGGATCTAAAGTTCAAGCCCAGCCTGAGCAATTTAGCCACGGAGACCCTGTTCCAAATTTTAAAAGTAATAATCATTTTAAAAAGGGGCTGGGTATGTAGCTCAGTGCTAAGTCCTGGGTTCAACCCCCAGTATCAAAAACAAAATAAAAGAAAAACCCAAAATAAAACAAAAAAGCCTCTAAAGCCAGGCATGGTGGCACATGCCTATAAATCCCAGCACTCGGACGTGAGGCAGGAAGATTTCAAATTCAATCCCAGCCTGGGCAATTTAGTTGCTTAGTGAGACCCTGTCACATGAAAACAAACAGAAAAACTCCCACATTTCCATCTGTGTCAAGTCAGATTCTCCCACCTGCTTCCCTCTGTAAAGTCAAGGAAAACACACTGCGTGATTTTTGCATTCGCTTCTGGTTCCTGTCACCTCAAACATCCCCTGGTAGCTTATGTTCCCTACCTGTCTCCTTCCCTGTTCCTTTGTTCAGCAAACGACTCCACTTGTAGCAGCCAGTGTGTCAGACACTGCTGTCTGTTGGGAATAAAACGGTCCCATTCACAGACTCAGCCTCCCAGGGTAACGCGTGCAACCAAGCCTGAGCCATGCAGGGGCGCAGACTGGGCACAGTGGGCTGAGGCAGGACGAGGAGTGAAAGTCAGGGCCAGAACGTGGCTTTGAACACCAGAGGTTTTTGGCCTCGGATTTGGGCCCATGTTGTCATTGCCCTGCTGTAGAGAAAGGAGGCAGTTTGGT